TCAGCACTTGACTAGCTTTCTGCAACTCTTTTTTGGTCTGTGAGATTAGGGCAAGGAGTCCGGGACATTGCTTTTTTGCTTCTGAAATTGCACCAGGTCCGATTTCAGGATCTTTCAAAACTTGCTGCAGCAAGGCATAGATAGTCTTGGGTGGTAAAGACATGGCAGAAGCCAAGGTGAGGCAAAGCCGGTAAAGAGGAAAAGCTAAACAAGACTACCATGCCACGCATTTCTGTCTTCAAAAAGCCTCGTGAAACCTGTCAAATGGGTAGTTGCTCACACGGCATGTTTTTTGCTACAATTCCTTATCGTTTTCGTTATCGTTTCATTATCGTTTTGGTCACCTCTGCACGTTCTCATTTTCGTAGTCCATGCAAACGACTGCGGGCAACAAAACACTTGAGACTCAGCAAGTTGGTCCAATCCCATGGAGCTGCCAACGTTTATTCTCAATTGCAAGTAATAATTATACCAGATCGAGTTTTGACCGTACCTCATATCATGTATGTGTATATATATATATATTATGATATATTATAAATATATATATATATATGAGCATCGTTATCGTTTTTCCCCTCTTATCGTTTTCTGGGCCGGCAACGTATTGGCAGTGTTAAAGTGCAAGCCAAGCTAAAATGCAATGCACGGGGTTATTATACTACCCCCTCTGGCCGTCAGCCTTTGCTGTTCCAGGGTTGCAGCCTGCCCTTTGCCTGCACATAGCCCTCTCTTGTTAGGGCATTCAAGCCTGCCGTTTGCCAGGCTTCAAACGCTCCAAACCCTTAAAACCCTTAAAACCCTCCCCAGGGTTGCAGCCTGCCCTTTGCCTGCACATAGCCCTCTCTTGCTAGGCCATTCAAGCCTGCCGTTTGCCAGGCTTCAAACGCTTCAAACCCTTAAAGCCCTTAAAACCCTCCAACTCCCTCGCGGCAGCTTCCACCAAGCCCTCTGGCCGTCAGCCTTTGCTCTTCCAGGGTTGCAGCCTGCCCTTTGCCTGCACATAGCCCTCTCTTGTTAGGGCATTCAAGCCTGCCGCTTGCCAGGCTTCAAACGCTTCAAAACCCTCCAACTCCCTCGCGGCAGCTTCCACCAAGCCCTCTGGCCGTCAGCCTTTGCTGTTCCAGGGTTGCAGCCTGCCCTTTGCCTGCACATAGCCCTCTCTTGTTAGGGCATTCAAGCCTGCCGTTTGCCAGACTTCAAACGCTCCAAACCCTTAAAACCCTTAAAACCCTCCCCAGGGTTGCAGCCTGCCCTTTGCCTGCACATAGCCCTCCTCTTGTTAGGCCATTTCAAGCCTGCCGTTTGCCGGCTTCAAACGCTTTTTCAAACCCTTTCTTTTAAAGCCCTTAATTTTTGCCCTCCACCCTCCCCGCGTGGGCCACAGCTTCCCACCAAGCCCTCTGGCCGTAGCCTTTGCTTTCAGGGTTGCAGCCCTCTGGCGTGCCCTTTGCCTGCACATAGGGCCCTTTCTCTTGTTAGGGCATTCAAGACTGCACGTTTTGCCCAGGCTTCAAGCACGCTTCAAACCCTTTTAAAACCCTTAAAATGCCGTCAGCCTTTGCTGTTCCAGGGTTGCAGCCTGCCCTTTGCCTCCACATAGCCCTCTCTTGTTAGGGCATTCAAGCCTGCCGTTTGCCAGGCTTCAAACGCTCCAAACCCTTAAAACCCTTAAAACCCCCAACTCCTCGCGGCGCTTTCCACCAAGGCCTCTGGCGTCAGCCTTGCTGTTCCAGGGTTTTTGCAGCCTGGCCCTTGCCTGACTAGCCTCTCTTGTTAGGGCATTCAAGCCTGCCGTTTGCCAGGCTTCAAACGCTCCAAACCCTTAAAACCCTTAAAACCCTCCCCAGGGTTGCAGCCTGCCCTTTGCCTGCACATAGCCCTCTCTTGCTAGGCCATTCAAGCCTGCCGTTTGCCAGGCTTCAAACGCTTCAAACCCTTAAAGCCCTTAAAACCCTCCAACTCCCTCGCGGCAGCTTCCACCAAGCCCTCTGGCCGTCAGCCTTTGCTCTTCCAGGGTTGCAGCCTGCCCTTTGCCTGCACATAGCCCTCTCTTGTTAGGGCATTCAAGCCTGCCGCTTGCCAGGCTTCAAACGCTTCAAAACCCTCCAACTCCCTCGCGGCAGCTTCCACCAAGCCCTCTGGCCGTCAGCCTTTGCTGTTCCAGGGTTGCAGCCTGCCCTTTGCCTGCACATAGCCCTCTGTTGTTAGGGCGTTCAAGCCTGCCGTCTGCCAGCCTTCAAACGCTCCAAACCCTTAAAACCCTTAAAACACTCCCAGGGTTGCAGCTGCCCTTGCCTCTGCACAAGCCTCTCTTGTTAGGGCATTCAAGCCTTGGCCGTTTTTGCCAGGCTTCAAACGCTTCAAACCCTTTTTTTTATTTTAAAACTTTAAAACCCTCCAACTCCCTCGCGGGCAGCTTACACCAAGCCCTCTGGCCGTTCAGCCTTTTTGCTCTTCCAGGGGTTTGCAGCCTGCCCTTGCCTTGCACAAGCCCTCTTCTTGTTAGGGCATTCAGCCTGCCGTTTTGCCAGGCTTCAAACACTTAAAAGTCTTAAAACCCTCCAGATCCCTCGCGGCAGCTTCCACCAAGCCCTCTGGCCGTCAGCCTTTGCTGTTCCAGGGTTGCAGCCTGCCCTTTGCCTGCACATAGCCCTCTCTTGTTAGGGCATTCAAGCCTGCCGTCTGCCAGGCTTCAAACGCTCCAAACCCTTAAAACCCTCCCCAGGGTTGCAGCCTGCCCTTTGCCTGCACATAGCCCTCTCTTGTTAGGGCATTCAAGCCTGCCGTTTGCCAGGCTTCAAACGCTCCAAACCCTTAAAACCCTTAAAACCCTCCAACTTCCTCGCGGCAGCTTCCACCAAGCCCTCTGGCCGTCAGCCTTTGCTCTTCCAGGGTTGCAGCCTGCCCTTTGCCTGCACATAGCCCTCTCTTGTTAGGGCATTCAAGCCTGCCGTTTGCCAGGCTTCAAACGCTTCAACCCTTAAAACCCTTAAAACCCTCCAACTCCCTCGCGGCAGCTTCCACCAAGCCCTCTGGCCGTCAGCCTTTGCTCTTCCAGGGTTGCAGCCTGCCCTTTGCCTGCACATAGCCCTCTCTTGTTAGGGCATTCAAGCCCAGGGTTGCAGCCTGCCCTTTGCCTGCACATAGCCCTCTCTTGTTAGGGCATTCAAGCCTGCCGTTTGCCAGGCTTCAAACGCTCCAAACCCTTAAAACCCTTAAAACCCTCCCCAGGGTTGCAGCCTGCCCTTTGCCTGCACATAGCCCTCTCTTGTTAGGGCATTCAAGCCTGCCGTTTGCCAGGCTTCAAACGCTTCAAACCCTTAAAGCCCTTAAAACCCTCCAACTCCCTCGCGGCAGCTTCCACCAAGCCCTCTGGCCGTCAGCCTTTGCTCTTCCAGGGTTGCAGCCTGCCCTTTGCCTGCACATAGCCCTCTCTTGTTAGGGCATTCAAGCCTGCCGTTTGCCAGGCTTCAAACGCTTCAAAACCCTCCAACTCCCTCGCGGCAGCTTCCACCAAGCCCTCTGGCCGTCAGCCTTTGCTCTTCCAGGGTTGCAGCCTGCCCTTTGCCTGCACATAGCCCTCCAATTAGGGGGGTCGGCGGCACCTGGGCGCTAGCCCATTATATACATATATATATATTGATTATATATATATATATATATTGTAAGGTACGGCAATTCAATTGCATGCAACTAACATCAAGGGCATTTCCAGAGATACGATCACATACACGACCACCCCTAACCCTTATATTAAGTTACCTTTCTAACCCTTATACTGCAAATTCATTACCATTACACGCATGCTTTTCTAGCCCCATGGGGAATCTAACCCTTAAATAAAATATTATTAACCATTTCGTCAAAAAGGTGTACTAACCCTAACCACTAACCTTACTATGGGCGATTTGCTGTTTTTTTCCTTTTTGTTCCTTTCCTTTTATTCCTGTCTTCCCCTCCTTTTTTTTCCTGTCTTCCCCTCCTTTTTTTTCCTTTTTTTTCCTGTCTTCCCCTCCTTTTTTTTCCTTTTTTTTCCTGTCTTCCCCTCCTTTTTTCCAAGTTTGATCCATTTCATACTCAAATCATCCAGGTAGATATGGTATTGAGACATATTGAGACATATTGAGACATATTGAGACCCAATTGTTTTCATTCTTATGTTTCCATTGACTTGACCCATGCTCCAATGCACCCCTTCGCCTTCGCGGCCGCATCACCGCCCCACAAAGCTTTGCGCCAAGACACGGTGCGTGGCACAGCACCCTGGAACTTGGCCAAGAGGAGATCGCCTCGTTGGAGGTTGGGCAATTTGCCTTCCAGTCAAACGTGGGCAATGGTAAATCCCCTATAAATGAAGGTTTTAATTGGAACATCCCTATTATTATCTCCTATTGATTCCTATTCTATGTTGTACTAGTAGTTTGGCCAATCCCAGTATGGCTCACAGCATAGTCTGACTAACGTGTGCCCAAAAACCGTTTTTGCTTCATTGGTGAATCATCATTTTCCTTATGAACGGCCATATGGGAATACACCCCATTCTCACCCCGATCTGTTTTGAAGCAGTTGACGGTGATTGATGGTGTCATGGTCCGCTCCCTGCCTGCTTCACTGGTCTTCGCCTGAGCATTTTTTTAAGGCGAGATCTTTGTGAGATCGCTTGTATTCAACACGAAAATTCGTATTGTTTCACCATTTGCATGAAATCCAACTGGTGTTTATAGATGTTTCAGCATCCAACTCTTCGTATTTTTACCTTTTTGTGCTCGTTGAACAAATTCTAGGGCATTCAGAAAGGAAACTTGCCCCGTCAATCGTCAATACTGCGGAACGGCGACCCCAGGAAATTCATGGCAGCATTCTCGTTAATTTTAAGCCATGTTCATCACATGTCCCATTGATTTGCCCATTTTCCCATCATTTTCCAGCCATGTCCATCTGCGCCCGGGGAACCTCATGATCCAACGACCAGACGTGAAGAAACTTCTCGCTACTGCCAGCGACAAGCCTCCAGAGTCACGGGATGTAAGCAACAAACTATGGGATATCTTGGGGACATGAAATATTATCATATAACATATTTATATAACTCATATCACGCACAAAACATAGAATCTACTTTTGATATCTTTTGGTCATGGATATTCAATGGTGAAACTGGGATATTGCCCAGCAAACACCAACACAAATGACCGAATTGAATCAGTTTTTGGCCCAGCGGGAGCACAACAAAAAAAGGTGAGTTTTGCTTCTACCAACATTGTTCCGGCAGCCAGCAGGGACTTAGATTGAAAAACAGCATTCCTGTCATGTTGCAGCTCTTCGTTGCCACCCTCCGAATTGGAACATGCGTTCTTCAATGCAGATTTTTTTTCAGCGCGTTTTTGCACAAGCAGGGCACATCAGCAGTTATAGCCGTGTTGTTCTGGAATCAATCAACCAAACTGCCCTGAAGGAATGTTAGGTTCCAATTCACATTTCTTGTCAATTACAAGTGATCTGAGTTGACTTGGGAATGTATTCTAGCTGACTTTAGCACTCAATTGTAACAACGTAACGTAATGCAGTATCTAGCATCATTTAAAATGAGATATAATATATATTATATATATATATATTATATATATAATATATATATATAAGATATATCCATATAATTATACATAGAAACGTATACCATATTACAATAACAAGTAAGTACTGTATCTCTTTGAACTTCATTTCAATCGTAAAATCAATCGTAAAATCACATGGAACAACCACAACTTGACTTCCGCCTGGTCTGCGGCGCGTTGAGAGCCAGGCACCAAAGCTCCGAGGCTTCAGCGATGGCCTGGTGGTATCTGGTGGTCAAGCATCAAACCAGATGGATTGAAGCATCAAACCTGATTTCTATGGATAGTTAAACCATTGTTAAACCCATATATGAAGTTCATCATCAAAAAATCAGAAATATATGGGTTTAACCATGGTTTATAACAATGGTTTAACTATCCATAGATTGTTTGAAATATATGGGTTTAACTGTTTAACTATCAAAATTATGTAAAACCAACAATAATTGGAATTTAACCATGAAACACTGGGATTTAATATCATTCAGCCAAACATATGTATTTGAATTGTAGACTCAGAAAACATATGGAAATAACCAACACAAAACAGGATTTCATGATCAATGTGGAAATAATCATCAAACAGAGACTGTTTGGGCCTGCAGTCAGCACATTATCGGAGACAGTTTGGGCCTGCAGTCAGCACATTATCGTATTTCTTTCTAGTTACCACGTCTTCTTGTTATATAGACTCTTCTGATTCCACTGATGAATCACTTTTGTCGCTTGATGTTGGTTGTAGCTGTTTCTTAGATCCGATTTTTACTCTTAGAATCTCTTAGATCCACCCCGGACACCCCCATGGGCCCCCGAGGGTCCCTTGAGTCCTGCAGGCAAATTTGCATCTCCAAGGACCAAATGCGGATGAGGCGGTCCTGGATCCCCAGGAATCCACCACAGCCAGGGGCCACCCGCATGGGAAATCACCCAGAAATGTCGATGATTTTTACCAATCACACAGACATGCTGGACAATTATGCTTCTCCCGGAAAAAAATAGTAAAATATATACTGGGGTCTGATGACTTAGGATTAAAGGGGGTAAACTGACCTAAGTCATGTGGTTTCCACGTAGATGATTTTATACCATATTATATTACCTCAAAGGACATGGTGATTTTCCCTCGTCACGGCAAAATCCAATTCTTGGGTCGATTTGTTGGGCTGATTCCACCTCTCATTCCCAATGATCATTCAATTTTTGCTGCATTTCGCCATAGTATCGACCATTGATATATTACTACAATTTCATGCAGATTCATCGACATTAACACATACGATCAACTATTAATGCTGTACACATAATATAGTTACAACATTCTTTGATTTGTTTTGTCCATTTTCTTCATCACATCATCCGCCATTTTTCTTGTGATTCGTTGTGGTACCCAGCCAGGGGGTCCAAAAAAAATCCACCAATCACCACCTTCGAAGCGCTGATCAGCCGAACCACTGATGCCTGGCACAAGAAATCGATAGTGTTTGTAATGGAAAGTTAATGGTTGATGGTTAACTGTAGAGTTAATGTTAATGGTTATATAGTGCTGTAGTGTTGATAAATGTTGATAATAGATAGTGTTTGTAATAGAGGGTGTTTAACCATCATGTTTACGAATGATTCATTTTCTGATGATGATAATGATTCACAAAGATTCACTAAGATATACTAAAATATTAGATGATATTAGTACTGTATATCATAGTATATCTGATCATAATGTCTACCTGTAAGCCTCCAGACTGGTAATTATCAGTTCGTTCTGAAAAAAATACATGTCTAACGGGCGGGTGAAAAAAAACTCTACGCTGATGTAGCGTTGCATTGGAATTGCATTCAAATCCGCCCACACCGCTTTGGCGGTGAAGGCGTGCTTATTGGGGGGCAAAACAGCAACACTAAATGCTCAATGACATTTGTTAATATAGCAGTCGCTATATCAGCTTTAGCTGGGGGGGGGGGCCAAAAACGGTTTCGCACCGAGACCAGAATACGGTGGTGTTTTCGACATTTTTCGAGGATTTTTGGGTGTCTGAGCGCAAGAGGGTATTGAAATGGAATTTTGGGTCATTTTGGTAGCTTTCCGGCAATGGAAAAACGGCCAAAAATGAAAAAAACATTGTACATAGCAAGATTTTGCAGGGTTTTTGGATGCCAGAGCATTGAAAACACTGCAAAAACAAGTGTTTTGGACTGACGTTATAGCAAAAAACGTGTAAATTACCGTATGCTTGACTAAAAACATTACAAAAACACTGTCAAAAGCAATGTTTTGGAAGGATTTACTGCCTTTATGGCAAAAAACGTGTAAATTACCGTCTGTTTGACTGGAAACATTGGAAAAACACTGTCAAAAACAATGTTTTGGAAGGATTTCTTATATATATGTTGGAGTTGGCTACCGGCATTGGAACATGGAAAAATTGAAGAAAACACTGTAAATAGCGGTATTTTCAACGGTTGGGGAGATAAGGGAATTGGAAGCATTGTCGAACATGATGTTTTCGACCGGTTTTATGGCGACAAAAGTGTAAAGTACCGTGCTTTGAAGGAAACCATTGCAAAAACATGGAAACACATTCAAAGAACACGGGATTTGGGGGACTATCTAGGCGTCGTTGTCTAGCTATTTGAAATTCCGCAGCTTGGAGAGCCTCCAAGGGAGGGAAAAGTGAAAATTCCATAGCTTGGGAAGCTGTCACGGCGGGGAAAAGTGAAAATTCCCTAGCTTGGGAAGCCCCCACGGGGGGGAAAAGTGAAAATTCCCTAGCTTGGGGAGCCCCACGGGGGGGAAAAGTGAAAATTCCCTAGCTTGGGGAGCCCCCACGGGGGGGAAAAGTGAAAATTCCCTAGCTTGGGGAGCCCCCACGGGGGGGAAAAGTAGCTTGGGGAGCCCCCACGGGGGGAAAAGTGAAAATTCTTAGCTTGGGGAGCCCCCACGGGGGAAAACCACCGTTAGCCCCTCTCACGGACCGAAATAAACCTGCGGTGTGGGCGGCCACCCCACGCGAAGCGGGGTGAATAACGTTCAAATAACGTTCAACTTGCGTTCAGCGCATCCTTTGAGGCGACAAAAACCGTTCAGGAGTGACAAAGAGCGTTCTGGAACGACAAAATGAACATAATCTTGGAAAAAAGTGACTTTTTGAAAATGGACTGATAATTACCAGTCCTGAGGCCTACCAGGTACTAATGGTGATTCATGATTCATGGGGATTAGTGGTTACGGAAATTACCCACTTCCATTACGCTGAATGGTTTACGCTGAATGGTTAATGGGTTAACGGTGGTTAATGGTGCGTAATGGCGGTTAACAATAGTTAATAATAGTGAATAATGATAAAATAATAATGAATAATGGCTATAGCATGCTATAGCACCATCCGGCAATCCAACGTTGCTAGCTAGGAAATGCCCCTACGAGTACTGGAGGTTCATCCAGCAAGCCACGTTTGTTTACCGGAGTGTATCTTTAAACCTCTGGATCTCAAGGATCTTGAAATGACGCGGAAAAAACAACAACTTGAAAACTATGTAAAGTTAGTTTCCTGGATCGAAAAAGGATCTTGAATGACTAATGTCTTTTGCAAAATCGGGCACTTACCATAACTATATAACTTACCATATTTTTCACAGGAGCACATTGGGCTCCCAGCAGCTTCCGTGCACAGCTTAAAAAGGGTGCAGGGTGCACCCTGTTGTGTTGGGCAAGGACTGTTGAGAAAAACGTTTTAAATATAAAAATTAAAATAACAGGCGATAAACTGGGAGTGAGAACAACACCTTAAAGACACATGATATCCGGTCAGGCTGAAAAGATTGACCCTGTTTCAGACCTTGTAAACTTTTCTGACCTTGTAAGACTTACCATATAACTTTCCAAACTTTTCTGACCTTGTCCCATACTGTTTCACTGTTTCCACCAAGCCTCCGCCGCAGCATCCCCCAGCCCCGTGCCTCCCAGAAGAGCACCGAGGTCACCGCGTCCACATGTCCACGCAGTCGCGCGATGCCCGACTCTCCCACCAAGTCCCAGACGATCAGGTCCTGGGACTGGGCACAGGAAAACAACGTTGCCGGGTACTGAAAACAACAAGTGACATGGGACAGGCAAAGTATGTGCAACATATCAAAACTATGACTGTAAATGTGCTATGTCATGTGATGTTTAGGACTGGTAGGATACAGTACGTGATCCTGACTTTGTGGAGTTTTTCATGTACCGGAACAGTTTCTGAGTTTCTGATGCAATTTGACAAAAATATACAAAAATGCCAAAATAAAGGTTTACCCCATGCCAACCAAAAAGGCAGGATGGGTTCACAAAGTCCACCCCCCAAGTATGAAATGCCACCGAGAATTTGGGCATTCCAACGTTGGAAGGGAAAATTCAGGTACCTAAATGAGAGGCACCAGACCTCTGTACTGGGTATAGGGACCTAGATAAGGTCTATGTAAGCCCGATGGCAGGGAATTATGGAATGCCCAAATGAGCCAAGTGGCTGTATCGTTGCTGCCTGAAGCCATCAAATGACCCGCCTGGCATCATGTCGATTGGTTCACAGCTTCTGATGGGAACCATGAAGACTAAGGAACTGAAACTAAATCTGATCAAAAGATACTACCCTCTGGTAAACTAACATAACTATGGAAAATCACCATTTTTAATGGGAAAATCCACTATAAATGGCCATTTTCAATAGCTATTTTGACATAACCAGAGGGTAAACCCCAGCTGAAACAGGTGATCACTCGAAGAGCCATCACACGTTTGGCGTGTTTGCCGGCGGGGTTCCCCTGAGATCCAAGCCAACATTAGCCATCAGGAACTATCACACAGAAACATCAGAATCATTGGATTGGTTTAAGGGAAAATCTACAGGAAACCATGGTTTTTACCATCAAATATAGGGCTTTCCTGTAAATTTTCCCATCATCCAATTCTATGACAGAATGCAAGAGTCTTCCAGGGGCTGCTGTTCAACACAAAACACATCGAAACGCTAAGCGGCAACAAATCTTGGACTTGTGGCAACTGTTTGCCAGACTTGCACTCAAGAGCACGCAGTGGGGGCATGCATCTTCCTTTTTCAACATCGCAGGCGTTTGGCAAATATCAATTTTGGCACCTCTTGTCGGAGACTGTTTTTCCATGCATTATGTTTCTACTTTGCTATTTCAATCTTTCCTCTTCTGAGGGGATCCTTTTGATCAGCATGTTTGAGAATGTGCGCTGCCAAGGCATTGAAGGTCTTCATCCTGGGCAACCCATGAACTTCAGCATAGGTCTTCATTGCACACCAAACCTCATCCATCGCTGGAGATTCAGAGCCCAACGACAAGAGACTCTTCCGCTGAAGCATGTCTATAACAGCTGGCATGGATGTGCCCCCGGGCTGCCACTGTCCATTGCAGGAATCAGACAATAATGCCGTTCTCAGCTTTGCAGCTGCTTGCATTCCAAAAACCATTCGAGGCCTCGGTGAAATCAGAGTTCCATGTCTCATCAAGGTAGCCAAGTTTGTGCAAGAAATGGGCCACCAAATCACTTGAATCTTCCAACATGAAGGGACCACCGCCTCGAAAAATGTTGCGTGCGAGCTTGCTGCCGTATATCTTGAGCTGTTTTTCAGTGACCCTACCCTGTCTGACCGGCAAGGCAAATGCAAAGGCTTGACTGTTTGAGATCCAGTTCTGAGACTCGTACCGAATAGCATGATCTAAAGCAGACGTGGCAAGCGGAACGGGAAAAACAGGCAGTGATCCCAAACCATTCCCAAACCATTCGCAAACCAAAATTTGGCAATTCGTTGGATTGGATATGCGTCTGCAGATGAGAATGCTGCTGGACAAGCTTGGCTTTTCAGCATTTCTTCCCACGAATTGTACATCAGCTCAGCTTCAGCCCGATGGGCCACTGAGTCAATGGCTTCCCCAAACTCGACTGTCCCATCCCCATCAGCATGAAGGATTGCTCTGATTTTGGTGAATCTTTCCTCTGATGGCAAAGTCAAAACTGGTATGCCTTGTTCCTTGTAGAAATTGACAACGGATGTCGTCCGATTTGGAATGATAACGCAGGTTGACGGCTTGCCAGCAACAATGACATGTTTGAGGACGTCGGCAAAGCCTTTGTCATTGGTCAAGAGTACTATACAATCGCAGTGTGCGGACAAAGCACACTCCTGAACCTTAGAAATGATAGCATCATCATTCGGCTCTGCTACCTGACTCTGCCCACGCGGAACTGGAACGAAGGAAACTTTGGGCTGCTGCAACAGCTGTATCATGCTCTTGTTCTTGATGGCTCCAGGAGCTCCAAAAATCACGGTATTCACATTGTCACTGGCCATCCTTTTAGACATCAAGTATGCGATTGCATCACGTATCCGGGCACTGCCAAAGTAGTCGCCGTCGACCAAAAGCGTGATTTGTGCGGTCTCCTTGACAGGCAAAACAATCTTTGAATCATCTCCAAAGGTGGCCCTTAGCTGATGCCTTCGGGTCCAGGGTTTGCTTATCCAGACTGGCAAGGCCAAACAAGCAATCGATCGAGATATGTTTTGAGTGTCAGCTTGAGCAAATCTGCAGGTCTTGCCTGCTTGAATTGGTAAAGTTGATCTGGCCACTTGTCTTAAATTTTCAGAACGAGTGAAACTACCAGGTCTGTCAGCATAGACATACATGGCCGCGAAGCTGCAACAAGGGTTTAGTTGACTTTGCGCCGGCTGATATCAAGTGATGTTTTGCTTGAGTTTGGAGTCTGCAAAAATGAGAGATGCCTAAGGTGACTTCATGACCGTACATGTTTATTACAAGAAGACATAAGAAAACAACAACCTTCATGGTGACATTGCAGGGCCACCTCAATCCCTGTTCACGTGCTCAGCAAGTTCGCTCCTGATTTGAATTGATAAGTACGATCAGCATAAGTGTCTTTTGACCCTATCTAAAGTCATACAAAATAGATGAGCATGACATGGCAGTGCGTCAAAACCAATAGTACCCCTGTAGTTCACATCAAAATAGCTGGGATTTATGGATGTTCATTCCCCTAAAAATGGTATAGAAAAAGGTATTGATCCATACCCACATATGTCCAATATGTTTCAGGTCCAGTGGTATTTCTTGCCAAAATGGAATCCACCAATCGGCGGCCAGGAGCAACGAATGTGCCTTGTCGAAGCATAGGCAAGTCCTCAGGCCGGCCCCGTGCCAACGTTAAACCGTTGAACTACGAGGGAGTTGGTGGCCGCGGTGTCAAAATACCAAACTAGGAAGAACATGTCATAGAACCATATATAAATAATTCATAATGGAATATATTACATATACATTCACATTAGGAAACAAACACATAAACAATCATGAACCCATCATATAAATAATATATATATATATAACCTAGGTTATATATATATATATAAACCATCATAAATCATCATAAGCAAATAATGTCACCAATATTATACACATACGCATCTTCCAAGATGCAAGAACCTTCGTGTGACTGGGGGTCATAGCTGTATAATGCTGCAGGCTCATTGTGTTGGAAAGCAATCATTTCCAGGCTATATTGATTATAAGATCCTCCAATGTGGTAAACCCAATGCCACAAAAAACTACCACTTGGGGATGGTTTATTAGAGGTTTTACCACACTGATAGCAATAAGACATATTATTCACTACACTAGAGATTGGGATATCGATATGAGCTTGTCTGAAGTCACTTCCCTGCAAAAGGTCAGACAGATTTGATTCTGGGCATGCCGGACAAAAGACACACAAAATGGAACAACCACCTGTTTTAAATGATGGTCCTTGCTTCCGGACTTTCACAGAGGCTACTCACAACGGTAATCATGTTTTCCTCTAATAACAAACAGCGCACTGAAACGCTGGATTGGTATCGGATTTATTTATTTTGGGGGGTCGAACATAATTCGGGAAGGGGCTTTGCTAGTAGGATTACGTAGAATGACCGTCTCAGACCTGATCCCCTCTTGTCACAAATGGACGTCCATTGCCTATGAATCATAACCAATAATTTATATGCGCTCACCTAATTATGCGGTTAATATACATATATATATATACACCTAGATCCTTGATCATTGTCTTTTTTTACTTTTTTTCTGCGTGCAATTTGAAATCTGAAGCACTTAGAAAAACTGCGTGCCGGAATCTTGACTCTGAATCACTTAGAAACGCATTGCGAGCGCACAAAAGAGAAACGCCAGCACTCAAAAGGACAGCGCCAACTTGGTGTCATGTCAAGACCACTTACTTGGACAAAATCTGGATCACTGACCAAAAAACTGGTTGCTTGCAGGCTCTACGTATAGGGATTCCGTCTGGAAATGTAGCAGGTTGCCATGGAAAATTGTCGGAAAATTGTCCATTTAAGATGATTTTCCCACTTAAAATGGTGAATGTCCTCCTCATCTTGACGCCAAAAAAGGCAGGCCTCCTTGGAATCCCCTGGACTTACTGGTGGTGTCAATTAACACAAGCCAAATGCACTTCAGGATGCAAAGCAAAAACACAACACAATCCCCCGAACAAGATAATTTGATATAATTTGAGAGTATTTGCAAATGCTAATCCCTAAAAGCTTGATATCTTTTGTCATTGGAGCCAGCCAATCTGTTTTTGGTTTTCCAACAAGGGTCAATGATCTTTCTCGTTATCAAATACTCACGTATCTTGCAGAATCTTGCAATACTCACTCAATCTCACTTGTCTTGGACACCCAAATGAAGAAGGAAACCAAATAGATCCCATTTTTTCTTGGTTTTACCTTCTGCCAATTCATTATAGTTCACTTTTAGTTCGATGTTTTACCTTTTTTCAGACCGGTGATTTTCCAGTTCGCAAACGGTTAGTTCACCCATAAACATGTTTTTTACCCTACGAATCACCATTCCTTAATATGTAAACCCATGGGTTTACCCATTTACCCAGGTAAATATCCTAAAATTACCGTTAAATGGATATAAAACCAGTTTTTCCACCATCCTTAAATCATTAAAAAACCTCATCCTATAATTGAACATATAGGGACCAGGTAGATGATCCTTAAAAGAAACATCGGCAAACACCATCCCATGTCCCCACCCCAAGTCGCGACGTCCAAGCCACACTGCGGAACGATGTCCCTGCAAAGTCTGCAGAACCGCACAGGCCTGGCGCCGAACAAAACTCAAGACCTGGCTTTTCGATATGGTTTTCCTGCCACAAAAACGAAGCAACCAATCGACCATTAGATCTAATAGATCCAAAAATTAATTAGTCGATAATTTTGTTACTAATTTGTTATAAATATCTATAAATATCTATAATTAGTTATACAAAAGTTACATGTACATCTAGTTGACGAACTCCATGGTCTGTCTAAGTATTCTAAGTATATATACTGCAAGATACGCTTTTGCAAAGGTACTTTGTTCAATGGATCGAAACAAGTCCAGGAAATTTCATGGCTTTTATCCTTCAGCAAAGGGCTTCCTGAAAATATGATCATCCATTTCTAGTAGCCATCCCCATATGATGGCGTCACAGGCGCCACATGGCGATGTGGTGTCCCCGAGTTCTAAATTGGTTTATAATATATATATATAAGCCCAGTGACTATCGATATACCAAAAGTCCTAGTTATTGAGACTATAAACTAACTTACCCTCTGGTAATTTAACATAGCTATTGAAAATGACCATAGAAATAGTAGATTTACCCATTGAAAACTGTGATTTGCCATAGTTATCTAAACGTTTACCAGAGGGTAACTATCTTGGGGACACCACCGCAGGTATACCCAGTCGCAACGTCGTTGTTGAACGGTCGCCTTCAGGTCCCAAAGCCTCACGGTGCCATCTTGGTAACCTGCCGGGATGGCACCAGGTGTGGACAAAGGCCATGGAAAGCGCCAGCGAATAGGACATATATTGATTCTTCAATGAGATATTAAATAATACAATAATAATAATGATAATGATAATAATAACAATAAATATACTATAGTATTATCTAAATATACATAATATACATACATAATATACATACATAATATACAGTACATACTCTCTCTCTCTCTATACACATATACTTACCATATATCAATAGAAGTATATGGTATTCTATGGTTATGATGAACATGGACAACTAGTGGCCTAGGATCTAAGTTGCGAGCCAACGGCACAGCGCCCAGAGCCAGCCACCTCAAAAAAGGCCACGAGGCATGTCAATCCACCATGCTTGCTGATCATTTCAGGGAAACCATTGGTGGTTTTCCATGTAGCTTACTTTCTATATATACTGTATATTAATATATTACCCTCTGGTAATTTAACATAGCCATGGAAAATCACAATGTTTAATAGGTAAACCATCTATAAATGGGCCATCTATACCATGGCTATGTTAAATAACCAGAGGGTCATATTAAATACATGCCATTCATGAATGGATGACATATTCATCATATTCCAATTGATGATCTACAGATATCTACAGTACTTGCTCAAGGTTGGTTGGATCCCAAGGTTTTACTCCACTTGAAGTGGAAAAGAGCGGACTGGACTGCATCAACGCACGTTGAGTGTATGCATCCAGCCCAGTCGGGTCCCCAAATCGACTGGACTGGACATCAAGAAAATAGTAAAAGGTTGCGGATGAGGCGTAAAAGGTGTTGAATATGGTTGAAATATGAGCCATAGC